TCTTCCACTGAAAATTCTTACACTCTCCCTCCCTTTGTTTAAGCACTAAACCCAGGATATAGGAACTCTCTCCAAACAGGAGAGATGAGGGAATGTTATGCATTCTCTCCCTTCCTTGCCTGCCTGCCTGCCTGTCTTTCTGTATGAATGCTACATGACGACAGAAGGACACTTCCTTCAAATAGGCCAGACAAACTCCCAGGATGTCAGGGTTGTTTGGCAGATTTCCCTGTGGGTGTGGGGTTTTGGGGGGAGGTAATGAAAGGGGGTCACAATTCATCCCTAAACACAATTCAGCTTGCTTACACACACACACACACACACACACACACACACACACACACGGATCATCAGGTCTCTCTGCCATTTAGATGACAGCCTGTTACCTAAAGCAGGCCCAAAGCTCTATGAGCAGAACAGGAAGAGGACACATGGTGATGGAGCTAACCTATGCTTCCGTAGTAGAATCATGCAGAAAGCAAAACTGATGATGCTTGCCCACTTCCTCTCCAACTTGGATGCCTCTGTCCCTCTCAGAGCTACCCACACCACCCCTGTGAAAAGCCCCTTCCCCAAAATAACACTAGACTGATCCATCCTGCAGGGACTGGAAACCCGGCAAATAAGCTCCTGTGTGACTTTGGGCCAACTAATTAAAGTTCTTGGGCCTGTTTCCTCATTCAGTGGGACACCATCCATTAACCAACATTTTGCAGTCACTATGTGGCAAGACACAAGTGAGCTGGGCCATGGATTATAAAATTAGGTAAAATATAGACCTACTCTCAAAAAGTTTACAGTTTCATAGTGGGGTAAAGGGGTAGCTGTAGAAGGGAATCCAGCATACACACAAAGAACTCTGCTATAAGGGAGACTGAGAAATACAAAGGAAAGACCCTGGCAAAGTGCTAGGAGAAATTTTAGGTAGGAGAGATCACTTTAGCCAGGACTAGGGTGGGAGGATAGGAAAGGAAGAGATCATTAGGGAAGGCCTGATGAAAGAGGTGGGACCCCAGATGTAGATGGGTGTTTGAGCAAGGGAAGAATCCATTTCAAACATAGGAGATGGAGTGACACCAGGCACAGACAAGAGCAGACTGGGTAAGAAGAGGGAACAAGAATAATGTCTCAAGCCAGGGCTTTAAGTTTGGAAAAGCTGGCTGGAGCCAGTCTGTGAGGCACTTCCAACATCAGAAGATTCTATTTTATTTAGTAGGCACTGGAGAACCACTGAAGATTATAGAGTGAAGGGGTGACTTGATTAGAATCGATAACACTTGGCCAATTGACTGGATAGGGTAGGACTAGGTAAATGACCTGAAAAGGAGAGGCTACTGGGGACCTGTGTGAGGGCTGTATCCACACATCTACAAGCCAGCTCTCAGCCCTTTCATTTGAGCCTGAAGGATCCCCATTTCCCAGGCTGAGAGAGGACGCCTGCTGTCCCTTCTTAGAGAAGCTAGGGGAACAAAAGCAGCCTGTCAGCCCTTTCCTGGAACCCCTCCTTCCTCCCTAATCACCCCCCACTGCCATCTTCCCTCCCCAGGTCACTGTTCTTGGCTTGGAGGCCAGGTCAGTGTGGAGAGCCAGGATGATTCCCACCCTCTGGCCCACTTTCTCCTCTCAGGCCAGCCTGGGGAATTCTGACAGCTTCAACTCTCCCCCAAACGCCTGTCCCTCAAGTTCAAGTGGTCTCACAAGGGTTGTCACTCAGTGGGGCCCAGCAGGGATGCTGGGAATGCCAACAGCCCCCCTCCCAGGCCTGCCAGGCCCCCTTATCTCTAGGCAACCTGACCGGGACGCTGGGGCTCGGAGCTCCCGGGTTCCCATGGCAAGCGGCACACAAGAAGGCACGACGCCTTTTCTCTGCGCCCAGAGAAAGAGGCTTTGTTAACTTGCCCAGGGGGGACAGCGTGAGAGCTGAGCCTGGGGACTCTGGGAATCCAAACAGCCAGGACAGAGGAAACAAAAAAACTGCATTCTCTCGAGCCCCCCCTCCTCCCACTCATATACCTACCCCTCAAAAAAGCTTCAGCCCTTGAGAAAAGGGTCCAAGGCATTCTCAGGATGACCAAAGACTAGGCACTAAGTGACCACAGGATTGAAGGCTGTGTTCATAAACCCTTCCCTCCCTTCCCATCCTAAGGCCCATTCCAGAGAATGAAGCAATAGGGGCTGAGGGATGGTTCAGAAATAATATACATGTTTAAAAACACATACATACATACACACACACCACACACACACACACACACACACACACACACGGCTCAGAGTCAAGCCTTTCTCACCCTCTTCCACTCTTTCTAGTACGTGCTAGTTGACAGAGACTATACTTTCTGGAAAGCCCTATTCTGAAGCCACTATTTCCATCTGTCAATTTATTTTAGTTTAGGAGAAGGGGAAAGGGAAGAGGTAGCAGTTTGTCCTCTTCTGATGTGGAGAGCAGGGGGACTCCTGACTCTGGACTAATCCAAGTTCCAAGAAAAGCTCTGGTGGGAAAATGACAGCCATGGGGCTGGGTCTCTAAGAAAGGGTAAGTTAGACCATTCAAGGTCTGCCATCCCCTAAGTGGGGGGAGGGAAGGAGTTCATTCTCTCTTTTTGAGGTTCTCCAAGCAAGGATTGGAAGGCCACTTGTTGGTTGTGTATAGTAGGTAAGACTAGATGCCAATGTAGCCCTTTCCATCTCTTAAATTCTGTAATTCTGTGATTCTTCCCATTCACCACTCCCCTACTTCTTTAACTGATTTCTCTCCAAGATATACATGGAGTCAGAGGACCTGGGTTCAAATCTTTAGCCACTTCAGTCTACTCAAGTCACTCCCATTCTCTGGTCCCAATTTGCTCATATAAAAATGAGAGGATCAGACTTTGACAGGACTACTGAATCCCCCTACACCAACCCATGTTGTGGCCAGAGGTTAGGTTTCAGCTTTGGTAAGGGACTTGATTTTACTTATAGATGAAGATATGAAGTCCTAGAGAAGCCAAGAGATCTGTCCAGGGTCACAAAGCTTAATTAATGGTCCTGTAGCAACAGCAGTTAGGTGGACATTATTTTGCTACCAGTACCTGGTTGGGCTCTCCACCCTGGTAGGGTGTCTGTATGTCTACCCTGGGGTCACCAGACACTTTAGAGATGGAAGCTGTGCTCCTCCACCAAGAGGAGGTAGAGTCCCCTGGGGGCCTTTTAGGACCTAATTCAAAGCTCTCAATAGCCAAGATAGAATACCAAGACAAACACTAACAATAGCTAACATTTATAATACTAAAATTTTGAAGCCTTCACAAACATCTCAGTATATTCGTGAAAACAGGCCTGTGTAGTAGAAAGGGCAAGTATTATTACCACCATTTTATAGATGAGGCTTGGAGAAAAGTTAGGAGACTTAACCATGTAACCATGGGCCCATTGAACCCAGGTCTCCCAGACTCCAGTCCAGTACTCGAACCCTGGCTTATATTGCGCTGCTTCCCTTCCCCCAAACCTCTCAAGCCAAACATGACAAACCCTGCCTGATTTACAACCGTTCTCTACAACTTACAAGCTTAGCCATGGGTTTAGGGCATGAAATTTCAAGAGCATGAAAAAAAATTGGGGGAGGGGTCTTTAAGCTCGGGCAGTACCTATTTCCCCAAACACAAAAAGAAAAACATTCAGGAAACACTTACACTCTTAGGGGTGGAGGAAGCGATGAGCAAGAATCTAAATCCGGGCAATAATCAGTTTGCCCAACTAAGAGTCCTCATCCACGCCCGAGGCGCCCCTAGGCAACCAAAGGAAAAGAGTTCGCTGGGGCTTTTGTCTTGCCCTCTCTTATGCTGCCTCTAGGGGGTGGGAAGAGAGGACTGAAGCCAGCTCGAACGTGGCTGAGGTCTTCCAGCTCTTCATTCATTCCGCTGCCTTGGCTGCCTGCCGGCAGTTTCCAAGTCTGGGGACCAAGCTGACCTTCCTCGGGGCACTTGGGCCACCCTGAGGGTGAGGCAGAGTCGGGAGAAGACTAAGTTGGTGGGTTGGAGGAGGATTAGATTTTCCTCTAAGCCTGTTAGCTGGGGTCCTCGGGGAAGGACCTCTGTTTTTTCCATCTGAGTTGGGGTAAATATGGGGGGAGGTGGAGAGAGAAGCTGGCATCTAAAAAACACCTGCGATAAAAGTACTATCTCACTTGTGCGTGGGCGGTCGTTTGAGGTGCAATCCACCCCTCTGGGCGAACATCCCCCTCTACCAAGTGAAAAGCTTTGCGCCCCGGATTGTATCTCATTCAAACTCCTCAGCAGCATTAACGCTAAGACTCCCTCCCCACCCCCAGAGGAATTAGGGAGACACTCTAGCCCTGTGCAGCAGCGGCGGGGGCGGGCGGCGGAGGCTTGAAGTGTGTCTGGTTGGAAGAGGGGGATGTCCGGGGGTGGAGCGGAGAAGGAGACGGGCCCTGCGGGCGGGCGGGCCGCCACTCGCTAACAGGTCCCGGCACTTGACTCGGCGCATCCCTGGCATAGTTTGGCACCGAGGCCCGCTTACCTTTGCCAGGAGGAAGGCCGGGCCTTATGCCTCTGGGGCCCCAGATTGTCCCTCATGCCTGAGATAGGGGATGTTGAAGGGCGATTTGATACATCAATCCTGGGCTATTTTTTGGAGGTTTTGAGGAGAGGGGAGAAAAACATTCCCTTCTAGGTCCCTTTTTTTGTGGGGGAGGGAGAGAAGAGAAAAGAAAAATACGAATCCCTTAATAAGAAAAATGGAATCAAATCGCGTCCCTTGGATGTTTAAATGTTTGGAAGAGGCAAGATTTCCCCTTGCTTTGAACAAGGTGTTTCCCCGCTTCCTGTACTTTGAGCAATGAAGAGAGAGCATGGAGCTCCTCTGCCAGATGTTTTGTGTGTGTGTGTGTGTGTGTGTGTATGTGTGTGTGTGTGAGAGAGAGAGATTGGAGGGTGTGGTGCCCGTATCCAAATGTTTTGGGGTCCAAGGAAAGTGCCGGAATCTCTCGTCCAACTCACCATTTCTTTATTCCTGGAGATCCAGGTGTCCATCAGCAGGTCCAGTCGGGATCTGTGGAACTTCTTGGTGGTCTTGACTGCGATGAAGACGTCTCTAGGGAAGAGCTTCTCCATCTGGGGCCTGGGGACGCTCTCGCGCGCCGGGGCTGCCCCGGGCAGGAGACCCACGTCCCTCCTAGCTCGGCTCAGCTGACCGAAATACTCCGAGAAGCTGCGGACATCGCCGGAGGGGCCAGGCGCCCCCGCCAGTGAGGCGGCAGGCTCCTCCTGGGGCTGCGGCGGGGGCGGTGGTCCCTGTCCCTGGGGTTCGCCGGGACCAGCCAGGCTCTGCAGGACTCGACGTCCTATTTCGCCCCCCGGGAGCTCCTCCTCCGGCGGCGGCGGCAACCGCTGCCGCAGCTGCTGCCTCTGATCCACCGTCAACACCAAGAGGCAGGCGAGCAGGGCTCCGACCAAGGACAGGAGCAAGCGGCGGCCGCAGCCCTTGAGCATCTTCCAGCCGCCTCGGCTCAATGCACAGCTGGCTCGATATGCGCACACAACTGGAGGGGCTCCCCGAAGGAGATCCAGTTCCCAGTCACCCCTGTAGCTTGGCAGAGGGAGCAGAAGGAGGGGATGAGGCGATGGCAACGCAGGGAACCTCTCAGGAACTACCGTGGAACGCCTGTCCTCCAGCTCTAGGATCCCTACCTTGGCTTCCCCAGCCAGCCCCTAGCCCTAGCTGTCTCTGACCCTCCGGCTTGTCTGCAGCAGCTTTTAGCCGCTAGCAGTAGGCAGAACTCCCTTATTTAATACTTCCTTTCTTGTGGCTCCGCCTCTCGGGGGGGTGGTCTATGGCTTGGGTCCCGCCTCTTTCCCATTAAAACTGTCTCCGGGTCTTCTGGGGTGTATGGGGCGCATTGCTGGGGCTCCGCCCCCAGGTCTAGTTCGTTCCCTCCCTTGTCTCCCGCCCTCCCCAGTCCCACGTGGGTCCTCAGCACGGGGCTGGGAGAAGCGGCTGGAGCAGCTGTGTGGCCCCTTGTGTCTCCCGCCCTCTTTGCACACCATACACACACGCACGCTTTTTCACACACACACTCTTTTTTCCTCCGCTTTTCTTCCCCTCCCACTGTTCCTCCTTCCCCTTTCCCCCTCCCCCTTCCCACCTCTGTCTGTCTTCTGTCTCGGAATCTACTTGTTACGGGAGACAGAATTGGGAAGTGGACAGACTTCGTTTTCTCCGCTACCGCCCTTTCCCTTCAAGCTGGAGCTGGAGCACACACAGCTTCTCCTTTCTGCACCTTTTTACGTCCCTAGTGGTGTAGAGCAGATTCCGGCTCAGGCTGGGCAAAACAACGCATCCTAGAGCTCCTTCCAACCCTAAGATTCTCAGATTCAATGGGAAAATGAGGACAAGGATCTGCATTTACAGAGCGTTGGCTTTCTACACGTGATCTTATTTGATCCTCTGGACACCCCATATGAGGGTGACGCGATATCAGAAATATTAGTGTCATCATCTCACAGATGAAGAAATTGTGACTCGAAAAGGTAACACAGTTGGAAAGGAGAGGCAGGACATAAAACCCAGCGCTTCTGACCAACTGTGGCACTCTTTTACATTACAGCTTCCCCGAGCCGTCAAACACCTGGGTTTCACTCAGACAAGGATTGAAGGAGAAGGAGGTGACCTTTGTACGCGGCAAAACACCTTAGGTTGATTGGCTTCCCGGGCCCTCCTAGAGACACTTCTCTAGCCCATTTTACAAATCAACCCACGAGCCCTTCATTGTGCTTGCTAAGTGCATACGATAGCCTTGTGCTGCCGATGGCATACAAAAGACAAGAAAAATGGAAATATTCCTTGCTTTCAGGGAGATTGGATTCTATGGGGAAAACAACATATGCACATATAAGTAGATAGGAAATACAGAGACACGAGGAATAGACTCCCATGGGGGAAGTGATTGAGCAGAATAAACAGCAGCACAGGGAATAAAACTCAAGCCTCTGGTCTTACATTCTTGGTGAATTTTTCAGCTCCTTTCCCACTCTTTCTTCTGAGGGCTCTTAAAGTTGAGTCCTCTTTCCTCCCTCATCAGGGGACTAGAGAACTATGCTTCAGATCCCCTCCTTTTCATCCCTGGCTAGAACTCTGGACTCACAATTCCATGCCTGCTTAGCTGAATCTAGAACCTTGGGAAACTGGAACAGTCCCTATCCCAAAGAAAATAAAGTATGCTTTTAATGGGGCTTTGCAACAGGAATATGTATTTTCCTTTTTTTTTTTTTGCCAGACCATGTGGCCTGGTTTGCAAAATATGATTGCCTTAGACCTAGAGAGTTGGGTGGCTAGAAGGAACCCAACTCTGGCTTCAGCCTTTGCTCATTTCCTAACCCATTCCACCTGAGTAAAAATATCAGTGATAATGACAACTTACGTTTATATAGCCCTTTCTTCACAGCTATCCTTTGAAGTTGGCAAGAAAAAGACTACTACCCCATTTTACAGATGAAAAAACTGAGGCTCCCTTTTCAATATCTCTCCTCTCTAAACCATACTCTACACAACCACTCAAGTGAAATTCCTAAAGCACAGGTCTGCCTATGTCACTCTTGCTTCTATTGCTCTCATTTGACCTTAAACAAGTAGCTCTATTTCCTTGGGCCTCAGTTTCCTCATATGTAAAATGAAGGAGTTCTGAGGTCCTCTAGAGGACATATACCCACCACAAACTGACTTAGAAAACCACATGTTGATTTTATCTATGTTTTATTGCATTTTTATTTTGTCAAATATTTTCCAATCACATTTTAATCTGGTTCGGGCTGTACTCAGGAGTGTTGCTGTTGCTAGAGCTTTGATTCTATGGTCTCTGGCTCGGAACTTGTCTCATTATTGCCTCTAGGATCAAATACAAACTTTTCTACTTGGCATTTAAAGCCCTTCACAATCTGGCTCCAGTCTACCTGCTCAGACTTACTGCACATTACTATTTTCATGAACTCTATAGTCCATCCAAACTGGACGATCTTCTATGTCCGTGTCTGCACAGACCATCTCCTATTCCTGGAATGTAATTTCTTTCCCTCCACTTCTTAGACTCTCTAGCCTCCCTTAGTTTTTTTCTTTTTTTTCTTCCTTCTTTTTACTCCTCCTCCTTTTTTTTCTTCTTCTTACTCTTCCTCTTCTCTTTGCACCTAACTCAGTAAATTCTTGTTGATCAATTGGTTGACTTTTTTCTTAAAATCACAGTTAGTAATTGGTAGCACCAGGACTAGAGTCCAGATTTGTATTCTTTCCACTAAATGCTGAAATGCTGAGAATAAGACTTTCTGTTCTCCCTTTAAGTTCCTGAAATTCTTGGGACTCACTTATTCTATCAGACAGAAGGTATTTTTATGCGATCATATCATTAACTGTTATGATAATCAATAATATCAATACTGATGATATAGTAATATTAGTGGCTCTCAAGTTAAATGACCCTTCTCTCCTCCCCCCAATAACTTCTCTCTTTTTCTTCCTGATGTGTGGCAGCTGTATGGCCAGATGCTGGGGAACGGTAATCCTCAGCCCCTCCTCTCAACTGGGTGTCAGAGCACAAAATGAGTTCCCCTGCTGTGAAGTGTGCCCCACCTCCCATCTTCCCTTTCCCACTTCTAGGTGTGGGGGACATTTGTCCTAGAGGGGGGCGGGGGAGGCAAAATGGAGCTTTGAAATGGGGCCTGAAAGGTACTGAGGCTGAGGAGGGGGCTGGCCTGGGGAGGCTTGAGTAAGAAGTCTGTCAGGCCAGCTCTCAGAGTGTGCCTGTGATAGGAATGTGTGGAAAACAGCTGGATGGGGGAGAAAGAGGGCAGGCATTTAGGGTTTGCTGTCTGCTCAGAGGGTGGGAAACAAAAGGGACCTTATTGAAACCAAACTAAGTAAAACTGCTCAGGCTGCCCCTTTATAGCACAAGGATGTGTGGAACCTTTGCCTCTTGGGGTTTCTCCCCTCTCCTGCCAGAGCCCATCAGCAGTGCCTTCTTTCTCTTTTTTTTCTTCCTCTCTCTCAGCTCCACCTCTCAATGTGGGGAGGAAAAGAGAGCCCCTTTTCAAGAGAAGCTCACGTTTTGCTTGTGGGCAGTCTGGCCCTTCACTGCCTACACCCTCTCTAAGTCTTGGAAATAATCAAAAGGTAGGTGGATGGAGACGAGTAGCTAGCTGTGCAGGGTGACTGAGAGGGCCAGGGTTAGTTCAGGTGTTGCTTACCTGGCATTCTCTTTCCTATGCTCGGGCCTGTACCAATGAAGTGGCAAGCCTGTGTGTGTCCTGTGGAGTCCAGAATGCATATCAATGGGCGAGCAGGTTTCTGGCCCCAGTACTCACCAGCCCAAAAAACCAGGGCTAGAGTTCTAAGTTCTGTTCCTTGAAGGCCTGGGTCCTGAGGGATGGGTGGATTCCAAGAACAAAAATATAGCTGGGTGCAAGACAGGACTTCCCAGGCCCAGGCCACTCAGTTAGTGCCAATGCAGCCTTAGAAGTATATACAAATGCACCTTCAGAAAGTCTCCCCACCCTTCCAAGCCCAGCTGAAGTCCCTCCTCCTTCATAAAGCCTTCTTGGACTACTCATGGCAGTGTACCCAGCACCATAACAGACATCACAGGGGGAACAAGGCACACATAAGACAGCCACTGCCCTTTAAGATTTTATAGTCTATTTGGAGAGACAAGAATAATGCAGAGGTAATAATTAGAGAACAGAAGGCAGAGCATAGGAACAAGTGTCAGATTGCATAGTGCAGATTTTATGGCAGGAATTTATGGGAAAGAAAGAGGGTGCTTGATATAGTGGATACAGTACTGGGCTGAGGAAGCAGAAGCTCCTCTAATTGTGGAAAGTAGACTGGCTTCAAATCCCAGTCCTGCTTCTTACCAGTCACTTAAATCTCTCTAAGCCTCAGTTTCCTCATCTGTAAAATGAGGTGGTTTGAACTAGATGTCCTCTGAGGTCCCATGATCCTGTAATTTGAATGAATGAAAAAAAAAGCATTTATTGAGTGCTCTGTCTGGACAGAGGACTGCTAAGCAATGGGAGTACAAGCTCTCAAGGGAACTCATGTTCTAAGGGATAGATAACAAGTATGTACATTTCAACTGCAAGTGGGATGGAAAGATCCCATGATTCTTAGGGTATAGCTACAAAGCAGATGGTAATGTCTCTTTTTTAATGAAATTTCCATCGACAAAACCAAATCTGGTTCTGATGGAGACCCATTTTATAGTACCAAGTACTTGATTGGCTAGAAATTTATTTTCCATGTCTTCAGTAGCTGTGGCTGCTGGAGAGATGGGAGGGGTGCTGCTGTAGGATCTGCAGAGGAAGGCGCTAGGTTGTATCTCCACAAAAATTGCTCCCTTGATCCATGGGTGTGGGGGGATGGGCTGCTATTCCTGGGGCTCTTGAGCTCAAAGTCCTTTGACTTACCTCATAATGCACTGATTCCTGTAGCTTCCTCGGGGTGACTTGCTGCTTAAGCTAAGCTAGCTTTTCTGCCCAGACAGTGACCCTTGGGACTCAGTTTCCTCATCTTTAAAATGAAGGGGTTGGAATAGATGGCCTTTAAAGTCCCTTCCAGCTCAGAGTCCATGATCCTATGACAATTTATGGAGTATTTTCTGCACAGTAACTATGTGAGTTAAGTCCTACAAATATTACCTCCATTTTACAGATGAGGGAACAGAGGCTCACGAAGGCTAAGTTGTCCATGACCACAAAATTGGCGAAGCATCATACCCTGAATGTGAACTCCATTGTTGTAACTCCAAGTTTAGGCCTCTCTATATTATATCACATAGCCTCTTAGGTCACTTCCCCTATCTAGGCTTCAGTTTCCTCACCTGTAAAATGAGGGGGTTGGATGAGATGATCTTTTGGGTACTTTCCAGCTCAGTGATTCTATGATTCAGTATAGAATCATACTGAACCCAGGGAATTCAGGGAGGCAGCAAAGCATGAAATCACTCATAGAGATTAAGTGGCAATGGAGGTTGAACTAGGTGGGAAAAGGCCCTTCTTGTCAACTGTACTGATTTTGGCTCCCTCCTTTTGGTCACCAATTCATGGTTCTCTCCACCTAGAAGAATAACCCCTCACACAGATGTGGTAGCACTTGAATGTTTACAAAGCACTTTCTTCTCAATAACCCTGAGAGACAGGGATTCTAAGCCTCATTATCCCCTATTGGATAGGTGAGGAAACTGAGAAATTTGAAATTTGTTCTTGATCTCAGAGTCCTTGATCGGACCTAGGATTCAAGACCAGGTCTCCTAACTTGAGTTTAGTCATTTTTTTCCGACATGCCACAGGGCTACTTGCCTTACTATAAAACTTGGCTCTTAACTCTAGGAAGTTTTCCCAGATCTACCCCACCTGACTCTGATCCCTCAGTTACTCATACTCATGGATGTGGTTGGCTCTATATTTAGTTACATTGAATGAGATGTACGTTTTTGGACATAGCACATTTGCATTGTTTGGACTACAATTTGGACATAGGAATTTGCATTGTTTGACTACAAATATTTCTTAAGATGATTTTATTTTTCTTTCACCTCATTCTTCAAGATTTCTGCTTTAACTTCACTACCCCAGCAACTTTCTCGTACTGGAAGATCCCTCCTCTTCTTTGGGACTCTTCCTCTGATTGTTCAGTCCCTCCTGGAACCTCCACTTTAAGAAATATGTTCAAACCCACATTCACTCTTTTATTCTCTGAGCTTTGCCTGACTCTCTTTACTTTTTTCATCATGATGCTATGAAGTCACCTTCTCCTTACCCACCCCTTCTTCAGTTTGCCTTTTTCACAAGTATCTTATTCCATTAGAATATAAGCACCATGAGTGCAGGGAGTATCTTTGTTTCTGTTTGCATTCCCAGTGCTTAGCTTAATGCCTGGTATCAAATAAGCATTTAATAACTGTTCGCTGTACTTGATTTGCTTCTCTCTCTCTCTCTCTCTCTCCCCAACTGGGAGTAAAGGAAAGGTGGGAGAAAAAAACATAATGTTTGTTAGTTGAAAAAAAATAAAGTATATTCAATTCCATTTGGTGAAATAATGTTTTCTAAGAGTTTTTATGTTTTCATGTATGCTCAGTCCATCTTTCCTCTTTTGATCAGCAACTCTCTGAAGGCGAGGACTGTGGGTTCTATAATTCTCTATAATACCAGTTCACCGGCTCCAGGTCACCCTGCCTGCCTTCCTGGTGCTTAGCGCAGTGTCTTACAGAAAATGAATGAAGTCATTCTATCTAAAAGGTTCCCATACTTCCTCTGTCTCTGTCGGATGCTAGCCAAAGGAGGAAAGTGAGAGTTTATGGGCAGAAGGGAGATACCAGTAGAGGGTGCTTCTGTGGCCTGTTTCCTCCTTGGTCACAGAAGGAACTAGTGGGGAGAAAAGACAGTCCAGCTTCCCACCTCGCTGCTTCAGAGGAAACAGGTGAAGTGGTCTACTCAGCAACACCCAGAGACTTGTGATCAGATGAGGGGTCAAGGCCCCAGGGCTGGCTGCTGACCCTTGCCACAGGTGTGTGTGTGAATTAGAGGTTTCACTTCTAAAAGTTCTTATCTTTTTACTCAGAACATAGTGGAGGGAAAAAACTCCCAGCCCCAGGTGATTTCTCCAGGGAAAGGCATCAGAAATAATGAGTAGGTATTTGGGGGTTTCCCAGGACAGCAGGATGGGCTAGGCTGGTCTAGTCTGGGAAAAGAATTCACTTAAGCCTATCTTAATGCTTAGCCCACAGCCAAGAAAGTATGACAGCCCTGAAGAGGGGAAGAGAGTGCTGCTCAATGGTGAGAGCCAGCCTAAGAGTAGGAAGTCTATTTCTTTTGCCTAAAGAGTCAAGGGTCAGCTAGGTAGTGGTGGAGTGGAAAGAGCATAGAAGTTGGAGCCAGAAAGACCAGAGTTCTAATCGCGCCTCAGTGAGGTGTGAGACCCTGGGCAAGTTACTTAATGTCTTTCAGCCTCAGTTTCTTCATCTGTGAAATGGAGATGGCAACAGTATCTAACTAACTGGGCTGTTTTGAGAATCAAATGAGATAACATGTAAACCTTAAAGTCCTATAAGAAACTAGCTATTATTAAGATCAAGTTTAGGGCCTTGGATTAGCTAGGTAGTCAATTCATCCTCTGGGGCAGGAGGATGAAGTGTGGGGATCACTCACATTTTTTTTAGTTGTTAAAAAGGCCATTCCTTGGCTCCCCTTCTCCAGTGGATAATTGGGTGTGGATAGCTGAGAGTTAATTGCAGGCAGGTCCCCCCAGCACCAGGCAGGCAGATCACAGAGCAGATGGCCCTATCCTCAGACCCAAAGTGAGAAATCTCTCATGACCTCACCTCCTGCTATAAATCCTCCTCTACTTCTTTCTGCTGGGGCTGGCTTTTTTCAGCATCATCCCCATTGTAGTCAGACTTGGAGGAGTCTGAGTAACTCAAAACCATAGCTAATCTTCCAGCTACACTGGAACCAAATATATCAACCACCCCCAAATCTCATCAGAAGACTGGTAATAAAAGGGGCGAGACCTTACTGATGCTCCATTTCCATTTCTTTCTGAGCCCAACTCCCAGCAAGCTGCAGGGACAGGAGGAGGAATCAGAGGCAGGCAGCAGAGATGAGGAGGAGGAGGAAGGAGCCATCCTGGGAACCAGCTAAGTTCATCACCCCCTAACCTCTGCCAACATTCTCACCCTAGGACCTAAAGACCCAAGACTTACATCTGATAGATTTCAAATTTAAAGCCACAAATAATGCTCACCAAGTCATAGAATCACAAGGTCATAGAATCTAGAGTTAGAAGGCATCTCAGAGGCATTTAGTCCAACACTGTCATTTTACAGATATAAACCTAGGAAACCAAGGTCCAGGGACTTGAAATGATTTGTTCAAGGTCGTACATTGTCCCATTGGAGCCCTAATGATACTCACACTAACAATCCCTCACAAATGCCATTGACACTATTGTAATAAGAGCCCTAATTAGGACTTAACAGTAATTAGGTAGCTCAGTGGATGAAATGCTGGGCCTAGAGACAGGAAGACCTAAGTTCAAACTTAGCCTCAGACACTTAGCTGAGTGAATTTGGGCATGTCACTTAACCTCAATTTCCTTCTCTATAACATGGGGATAAATAATAGCATCTCCCTCTCAGGGTTGTTCTAAGGATCAAATAAGACAATATTTGTAGAACACTTAGCACAGTGACTGGCACATAGCAAGGACAATATAACTGCTAGCTATTATTATTATTATTATTCTTGTAATAGCTAACAAGTCTTCTGGTTTCCACTTTTTCTCCCCTTTAAATCATCTTTCAAGTTGTCACTTAGAATATTCTTTCCTATTAAAGGTTCTGATTATGTTGCTCCTGTGCTCCAAAGTATTCAGTGGGTCCCTATTGCCTCCTGAGTAAAGTCCATGTTCTGGCTGGTGTATTCAAAGTCCTCTACAACATGGTCCTCCCTTACCTTTCCAGACTTGAAGACTTTGTTCATATTATTGTCCTCCAGGTACTCTAACCAAACTGGTTAACTTTTTATCCCTCAAATATGAGCCTTCTCACCTCTATGCCTTTGTTTATGACATTCCTTATACCAAGAATGTCATCTCTCTCTCCTCCTTCACCTGTTGAATACCTATTTGTCCTTTGAAGTCTAACTCACAATGCTACCTCCTTCATGAAACCTTCCCTGATACCCCCCAGTCAGGAACAACCTTCACCTTTGGATCTCATGAAATACTTTGTTTATATCTATTTAATGCACTTAAGAGGTAGATGGCACAGTGGATAGAGTGCTGGGCTTGCAGTCCGGAAGACCTGAGTTTAAATCGGACCTCAGATACTTACTAACTCTGTAACCCTAGGCAAGTCACTTAACCCTGTTTGCCTCAGTTTCCTTATCTGTCAAGTGAGCTGGAGAAGGAAATGCAAACCACCCTAGTATCTTTGCCAAGAAAACCCCCAAAAGGGGTCACAAAGAGTCAGATACAGCTGAAAAACAACTAAACAACAATAACAAAAGCCATATGCTATAATTATCTGCATTTGTGTCTTATCCCCCTTATATCAGTCTACAATCTTCATGAGGATTGTGTTTTGTCTAAACTTTTTTTTCCTCCTTCAGCACTAGTTTGTGCCATGAACAAAGTAGATATTTAATAAGTGCTTGTTGAGTGAATGAACCCATTATCTGAGATCCTTACCCTGTGAGGTAAGCAGGGAAGGTATTATTATTATTCCCATTTTACTGATGAAGACATAAAGGCTAGAAATTAAGTGGTATATCCAAGGTGGTATATCACCTAGGCAGGTGATAATAATAACTCATGTTTATTAGCTGCCTTAAACATTTACAAAGTACTTTCCTCATAAAGACCTTGAGAAATACAAGTATTATTAGCTCCTCTGTCTTACAGGAGAGGAAGCTATGGAAAAGAATGAAATAACTTGCTGAAGTTCTCAACAGGAAGTTAGTGGCAGAATTCGATTAGAAGCCTGGTTCCCACTGAGTGTTCTTTCCACTGACGAAGGCTGTGGATGTGTTAATAAGAAGGATGCTATCTCTAGTTAGTCCATCAACAAAGTTTTATTAAAGCAACTAGTGCGTGCCAGTCAGTCAACAAGCATTTATTAAATGCCTACTATGTGCCAGATATTGTACTAAGCACTAGGACTACCAATACAAGCAAGAAGACAGTCCCTGCCCTGAAGGACCTTTCTCTCTCTCTCTCTCTCTCTCTCTCTCTCTCTCTTCCTCTCCTCTCTCAATATATATATATATATATATATATGTGTGTGTGTGTGTGTGTATACATATATATGTGTATACATATATATATATACATACATACACATAAACATGTATATTCTATGCAACTCATAAATGAAGCTGAATATCAAAAAGGAGAATGTACCTTTGTGGGCCAGTTGGAGAGAGACCAGTGGAGAATTAGGTGCAGAGCTCAAAGAGGAATAAAGGAGTTAATATGAATGGCCTGGTCACTTTCCTTAAAATGTAGGAACTCACTAATCAGAGGAGGGGTCCATGATGCAAAAAGCCTGGACTAGATGACTCTTAAGATTCCTTCAAAATCAATGGCATCGTGATCTGATGTTACTGAACCTCTCCCTTCAGTTTCTTTATCTGTAAAATGGGGAAAATAAACATACTACCTCAGTGTTGTTTTAAGGTGCTTTGTTGAGCTTCAACCTCTCTGTAAATGTAAGCTATTATAACATTTTGTCAAGACTGTCCTCCAGAAACAACACTTTGTGACTGACTGGAGGACGTGTTGACTGCCTCCATTTTATAGGTGAAGCATCTGAGGCTCAGAGAGGTGAAGAGATTTGCCCAAGGTTCCATGCAGATATCGTCAGGAAAACCTGCATCTCTTCTCTCCCACAGTCCTTTCAAACTCAGATGACTCTGGAGAAGTAGCGGACGGATGTGTGTTAGGAAAAGCCATGGTCAAGGAGGCTTAGAAGCAAAGACGAGGGTAGAGGGAGAGATTGGAGAGGAGTGAAATGGCTTGAGTGGCAGGAACAAAATTTGGGAGGATGGTGGGTGGTGGGGAAGGGCAGGGTCTTGACAATAAATGAGTTAAACCCATTAATGGATCAGCCCAGCTCCTCCTGCAATGACAAAGGCCAACCAAACATTCTTGTGGGGTAACTGGGTTCTGGCGAGAGTGATTTGATTTCTTTGCTGTCAGGGGAATGGAATTCCGTGGTGACTCCTTGAGGTCTAAGAATTTAAAAGGGGGGGGTGAGTAGGAGGTGGAGAATAAGGGTTGGTCACATCCCCTGGCCCCTGTACTTAGATGCCGCATTGCCTGCCCCCCCCCCCCCCCCCATGAGCTCAGTTCCAGTCAGAGACACTGATACTTGATACCATCGGAGGTATTGTGGAATCAGTCCTGCCTCTGGAGTTAGAAATCCCTACTCCAGGGGCAGCTAGGTGGCACAGTGGATGGAACACTGGTCCTAGAGTCAGGAGGACCTGAGTTCAAAGCTGACCTCAGACAGGTAATACTTCCTAGCTGTGTAACTCTGGGCAAGTCACTTAACCCCAACTGCCTCACTTTAAAAAAAAAAAAAGAAAGAAAGAAATCCCCATTCTGCTGCTTGCTATCTGTATGACCTTGGGCAAGTCATTTCTCCTCTGGGCCTCCATTTTATCTTCTCTAAAATGGGGTGTGTGTGTGTGTGTGTGTGTGTGTGTGTGTGTGTGTGTGTGTGTGAAATGAGATGATCTCTAATATCTCTTCCAGTTCTGAAATTCCATGGTGGAGAGTTGAAGATTAGCCTGGTAGGAAGAGGAGAATGAGAAATGAGGGCAGTGCAGCTGCTGCCTGGCCCTTGACAGAGGACTAGAGTAGGAGGTTGCTGTGTGTTTGGGGGAACAAAGGAATCAGTGGAGGAATGGAAAGGAAAGCAAAGAGGATAGTCAGATATGGGCAGTTCTATTTTCTCATGGCTTCCAGAGCACCCTACCTCTGAGGCTGTTTTACTTGGATAGTTCAGCATTCATTAGAGGTGGCGAGGACCTTAGGGAACTCGTAGACTAGGGCACGGGTGGAGAACTGGGCCTCAAAGCCACACATGGCCCTCAGGGTCCTCAAGTGCAGCCAGTCTTCACAGAACAAATCCTCTTCATAAAAGGATTTGTTCTGTAAAACTCAGACTGTAAAAAAAAAGGCTGCCCCCAAGGACCTAGAAGGCCACACGTGGCTTAGAGGCTGCAGGTTCCCCACCCCTGGACTAGGGGTTCTTAACTTCGGGCCTGTGCACATGTATGGGAAAAAAAAACCACATCTTTATTTTTACTGACCCTTGGTTTCCTTTGTAATCATCTGTATTTTATTTTGTATATTTAAAAACATTCTTCTGATAAGGCATCCCTGACACAGAAAAGTTAGGAACCCAGGACCTAATCTAACTCCCTCTTTTTATGGACAAGGAAAAGGGAGACCCAGAGAGGAGTAATGAATTGCAAGAACATCAGGGCTAGGAGGAAGAGGAACATGGTACAGTGGGAAAAATTCTTTGTCCTTAACTAGAGTAACTGGCTTTCAGGGTCAGCATAACAATTATTAGTTATTTAATATTTAAAATTGTAAAACTGTACTTTGCACTACCTACCTCACAGGTTTGTTAAGAAGTGACTACTTTGCAAACCTTAAATCATTGTAGAAATGTGCTAAAACTAAAAGCCATCTAATTCAATCCTTTGTTTTGTAGAAGAGGAAACTGGAGCCCAGAGAAGAAAATTGACTTGCCCAAGGTCACATAGCAAGCTGTCGAATGGGGAAAAATCAAGATTGAGTCCACTCCACTCCAGATGGTATCTCTGTATCAGCATCTCTGACCATAGCACAGATGACATCAGTGCCGCTTAATGAGGTTGTGGAGATAGGTTAGGGTCTGATGATGAAATAAAACCATGCTGTGCCCTAATTCCCCTCCCAGAACTTGTATGCCTTAAAATAAGTGACCTTGGAAGGCCCAGCTGTATGCTCAGTCTTGTCAGAAGGGAAATAATCCTGGATTTGAGGTCAGAGAATGAGGAATAAGCCCCACCTGTGAAGGCTAAGATTGGAGGGTAGAAGCCAAGATAAATTCTCCTTTGGGGGGGATAGGGCTCAGCAGTCTGGGATGAGAGGTCATCTCTATGTCTCTAGCTCCTACCCTGTGTGCTGGTGAGCTCCTTCTCCACAAGAGACAGCAGGACATACCAAGCTGATGGTGAGATAGCAGCTTCCCCTCTTCTCTTCCCTGCCCACTCCCTTTCCCCATTCCCAAGGGCTGTGGTGTAGGATCAAGATTGGAATTAGGCCACTGATTCAGCCCAGAAGAGAGGCTTAGAGATCTTTGCGGGTGGGGTGAAAGAAAAAGGAAAATATTTCTCTTATTCAGCATGGTGAAAAGAGTACCAGGCTGGGAGCTGAGACACCTGGGCTATACCTTTCACTTTGCTGCTTATTTGTTTTTGACCCTGGGCAAGTAATTTAACTTCTCTGGCTCACTTATCCATTTTCTAGATTTCCTGCCCTACCTCCCAGAATCTCTCCTTTTCCCCAACCTTCCTGCTGATGCCTCCTTCCATTTGCTCAGCTAGATGCCATCCCCTTCCCCATCCCAATCCCCTGAAGGAGGAAGCTTAAGTACCTGGTCCAGTCTAACCATGGGTCCACTTCCCACTTTTCATGGATAATGGCTCTTAGCCTCACCTGTCCCTGGCTGCAGGGCAGACATGACTCCTTATCCTACTTCAATTAACAGAAGAAGTCACTGTCTACAGTCTTTTTGTAAAGATGCAAGACCACCAGGCCTTACCATCTGCCCTACCACTGAACCTTGAGGACCCTTGGGCTTTGCCTCATGCCTTACTATTACATCCTCTCCTCTCACCCCTAATCAAGTCAACCAGCATTTGTGAATCCCCTACATTGTGCCAGGCACTGTGCTAAGCACCAGACATACAAAGAAAGGCACACATGGTTCCTGACCTCAAGGAGCTTCCATTCTAATGGGGGAAGGAAACTTACAAATAACGGTGTGCAAACAAGATATATACAGAATAAATTGGAGGTCATCTCCAAGGAAAGACTAGCACCAAGAAAGATTGGGCAGGGCTTTTGGCAGATGGTAACATTTTAGCTGAGACTCAAAGGAAGCCAGGAGGCAGAAATGAGGAGGGCAAGTATTCCAAGCAGGGGTGACAGCCATGCCTTACCCTCTGCTCTTCTGCTGTGTCCTGCACCCCCCTAAGTCTTTCCTCCTGCCCTCAATCTGCTCCTCCTTATATGTGTTGTCTTCCTCAATTAGAACAACTCCTTGAGAACAGGGATTGTCTTAATTGTCTATTTGTAGCCTCAGGGCTTAGCACAGTTGCTTGACACATACTAAAGGCTTAATAAATGCTTTTTCATTGTTCACCCTCTGGGTCTCAGTTTCCTCATCTGTCAAATGAAATAACCATTCCTAGTCTTTAAAGCACTGTATGTATTTCAGGGATTACTTAAGCACTGAGATGATTAGCTCTTGTAACAAGGTCCACTTCAGAGAGAGAGACAGAGAGAGACACAGAGAGAGAGAAGGGAGTTTCAGAACCAAAACTATTTTGCCAGGACTGGTTTTAGGGCTGCTCCAGTTCATTGTTCTGAGGTCTGGATTCAGTGTGCCCAGAGGAAGGGAAAGGAGGAGAGGGAAGTGGTGGGGAGGGCTCTGGGGATGGTTCCTGCTAAATAAAGAATTGCCCAAATGGCTGGGCAAACTTCCAGAGGGAACCTCAGGACCAACTTCTTCATTTCACAGATGAGGAAACTGAGGCCCAGAGACCAGAAGCAACTTACCCAAATCATACACAGAATTAGTGGCAGGGTTACCATGATGACAAACCTTGTCTCTTGCTGGGCTAGCACCTTCTCCTCTGAAATAGGTATTTTGCCATGACTGACCAGTTAGTCCTCTTCATGCGCCTGCAAAGTGTATTGAGGTATTGAGGTCTATGGTTAAGTGGGACAGAAGTTGGCAAAATGGTAAAGTAGGTAGTACTTATTTTTAGCCTTTCCCATCTTCAAGTACCCCTTGTTGCCATGGTAACCTCCTTCCTCCCCCTCCCCCACCCCATAATGACCTCGTTAGTAGTATTTCATGATCTGGTATTTGTGGTATTTTAAAAGTGCAGAGTCATTTGTTATAATACTTAGAACATTTTTTTTGAGAATTGCATTCATCATACTCTGCTGAATCTGTAATCTCATTGAGGTGTGTATTCCTTCCAGTGATGCTGCTTATAACCCATCCATGACTACCCATCTTGTAGGACTCTTGTCCATGTCCTCCCATAAGTTTGCCCCAAGGGGTCCACTCAATATGGTAGGGGCCTTCTACTACTTCTCTTGGTATTTAGAGGTAGCCGGGATTATATTGGAGAGCATCCCACGGAGCACATTTGGAGCTGAAACTGCAATTGTCATCCAGTGGAGGTCTGCAAAGCTCTCATGGCAATTTATGGGGATACCTATGGCTCAGTGCTGAAGTAAGTAGTGGTTTGGAATGATGTAGCACATTCTGGGTGGTCCTTTGGGAGCATTACATCAGTTTAAAAAGAAAGACAGATTTCCCTCCTCCTTACTCACCCCTCTCATCTGTCCAGTAAGTTAGGGTGCTTTTAGCCTCTTCTTGGAGAAGTGGGCAGCAGAAATGGCCACTACTGCAAAGAGCAAGGCCTTGGCAAGGCAAGTATCTGGCAGCCTCTTCTGTGTTGTGTTTCTTTCCCTAATCACAGGTGATAGAACAGAGATCCTGAGATGGGAATTTCAAGAGTAGCTACCTTGGGAGTAATTGTGTTTTTCAATGAGGCTGGTTATACTTCAGTTGGAGCCCCCACCAATTCCTACATTGCTTTATGCAGAAGATGATCGCTGCAAGGAATTGGAAATTGAGAGGATGCCCGTCAATTGGGGAATGGCTGAACAAGTTGTAGTATTTGAATGTAATGGAATACTATTGTGCTATAAGAACTGACAAGCAGGTGGATTTCAGAAAAACCTGGAAAAAATTACGTGAACTGATTCAAAGTGAAGTGATCAGAGCCAAGAGAATGTTGTACACAGTAACAGCAACATTGTGTGATGATCTACTATGAATGACTTAACTCTTCTCAGCAATATAATGATCCAAGAGAATTCGAAAAGACTTGTGATGGAAAATGCTATCCACATCCAGAGAAAGAACTGATGGAGTCTGAATACATATTGAAGCATACTATTTTCACTTTTTTGGTAGTTTTTTCCTTTTGTTCTGTTTCTTCTTATGCAACATGACTAATATGGAAATATGTTTTGTATGATTGCACATATATAGCCTATATCAAATTGCTTATCTTCTTAGGGAAGAGGGAAAGGAGAGAAAGGAAAAAACATATGGAATTCAAAATTTTATTTAAAAAAGAATGTTAAAAATTGTCTTTACATATAATTGGAAAAAATAAAATATTATTTAAAAGGAAAAAAGATGATCACTATCAGGAGGACAAGCTCAAATCCTGGCATAGCTTGATAGAATACATAAACCTAGAGGGAGACAGTGCAGAGTCATAGGTGAAATTCACCTATTCAAGAGTTTTGTAAACTATTCTGTGTTTTGATGTTTAAGTCTCAAACTCCCAGGAGAAAATATTGGTAGTTTTAAGCTCCTGCTCCTTTTTTAAGTCTTTGTTAATGTGCATGTTTGAGTCTCAGGAATACATTTCTTTTGTGTGGAGGAAATTAAAAAGCTGACCCACACCTAATTTATATTTTATATGGGATTCCTTTCTATTTCCTTATTTTGGAGAGGCCTTGTACATGAGTCAAACCTAAGCTTTGAATGATTCTTCTTGAGGACCTGGGATAGAAATGTAAATAGACAAAAATAATTTAAGAAAAAGTGTGATCCTTCTTTCTTTAGAGCCAGTTTCCTCTAGGCTTGAACCCAGTCTACCATGTGTGGATTCAGAACTGAGAGGGGTCTGATAATGGAGAGGAAGAAGGTGATTGGTCCAGCACCCTGGGCCCAGTAGCAGTTGTTATTGTTACAAAGAGGATATCAGTTGAGCAAGTGGCTGTCCATTGGTTATCCCTGCCTCTCACAACCCATCTTCTTTTCTTTTCTTTTCTTTTTTACTATGATAATTATAGAGGAATTTAATGTTCCTATTTCAAAGCTCAATAAATCCAATGGAGAAATAAACAAAAAGGAAAAGCTCCAAATGGATAGACTTGAGAAAACTTAATGCCTATTTTTTTATCTGAATTATCACTGCTTTTTTTTCTGAATAATTCCTTGTTTTCAATGTGTTGCTACCAGCTCACACCCATCATGTGCCTCTCCATTGCTCTTAAGGCAATCCTCAACTTCAGGGACAGTATGTGTCTTATGATGCTGTGTATGATGCCAGAGACAAAATATTGGAGTCAGAAGACTTAGGCTCCATTGCTTCTTAGTTGTGTGACCTTGAGCAAATGACTTCCCCTAGTCCTATATAATGTCAGGGTTGGAGTAGACAACTTTTATATTTCTTCAGACTCTAAATGATAGACTTTACATCTAAATATTTATGATAGTCTTTATATCAAACTGATTTGCATAAGTTTATACATTTTTATCATTTTATTTAACTTGGAGTTTTCTTATTTGGGAGTTCCTATATCAGTGAAATCATAGGTCCATTCATTCTTTCTCCTAGCCTTATTTCATTTATACAAATTAATAGTACCAAAAACAAAAAGAAAAACAAAACTCACCACCAAGTTAGTAGTACCTTTTCTCTATTATTATCTCCCAATCATCCTGTCTACATCTTATTTGTACATAGTTGTTTGCATGTTGTCTTCCCCATTAGACTGTGAGCAGGGAATGTCTTTTGCCTTTTTTGTATTCCTAGCACTTAGCACAATGCCTAGCATATAGTAGGTGCTTAATAAATGTTTATTAACTGATTGACTGATAATACAGATGGACACTCTGAGTGGTATGCAATGTGGAATGAAATAGGAGAAGATCTACAGGATATTGGTTGAATCCTCTCTGGAGGATTTTCAGGAAAAATATGATTAGGAATCTCATAGGATGAGGAGAAGGGTTGGCCTTTGCACTAGTTATTGACTCGTTTCAGTTGTGTCTGACTTTTTTTTTTTTTGGTGAGGCAATTGGGGTTAAGTGACTTGCCCAGGGTCAGACAGCTAGTAAGTGTCAAGTGTTTGGTCTGAGACTGGATGTGAACTTGGGTCCTCCTGACTCCAGGGCTAGTACTCTATCCACTGTGCCACCTAGCTGCCCCTGTCTGACTCTTCATGATGCTATTTGGGATTTTCTTGGCAAAGATGCTTGAGTGGTTTGCCATTCCCCCCTCATTTTACAGATGAGGAACTGAGGCAAACAGGGTTAAGTGACTTGCCCAGGGTCACAAAGCTAGTAAATGTCTGAGACCAGATTTGAATTCATGAAGATGATTCCAAACCCAGTGTTCTATCCACTGCACCATTTAGCTGCCACCTACCCATCCTTTGCACTAGTAGAGGAAGGCAGATCACAGAGATCTCAGATGATCTAAATATCAAATGAAAATTAATAAAAATACAGTAGAATAATTAAACAATACTGTCTCTGGAAAGCTCTCATGATGATGCTCAAGAGAAACCTAGGACCTAAAAGGAAGCCACTAAGGAATGTTTTTTGCCTTCAGCCATTGAACTGTGAGCATAATAAATGGTTCACGTTATCCAATTGTCCACTTGGGAGATGAAGCCTGGATCTAAGGGAGTGAGATGTGGGACAGGAAAAAGGAGAGGTAGAGTGTAGAGTGCAGCAAGGCCTGTAATGATGGTTTTGCTGCCTTTATCTACCTTTAGGACAAAGGAGAAATTCATATATTCCTTAGAACTATTGTTTGTTGTAGAATGCAAGCTTCTTGAAGACAGATTGTTTGAGTTGTCTTTGTGTTCTCTAGCAAAATGCCTTACACATAGTAGGTACTGAATAAATCATATGTGGAAATAAATTGCTACCTTCCTGCCCCCCTGATTTCAGCTGGACTTTCCCACTCACCCTTTGATTTTCTGTCCCCCCCCTCCAAGGCTAATGATTCATTATTTGTAGTATGAAAGGTATTAATGAGATGAGTCAACCCACAGGTACAAACTCATTCAAGTGTTTTGGTTAAAAGAGCAGTATATATGCACACTTAAAGTGTATGTACATATATATATATACACACACACACACATGTATATGTATGCATATGTATGTATACACACACACGTATATGTATGCATGTGTATGTATGTATATATATATTATATATATATATATAAAACATATAAAGTATATACACACACACATACACACAAAGAGCTTTCTGTCCAGGACCTTAAACTACCACTTCCTGCCCTACCACCTTTCTGATATTTAAAAGAAAAAATTCCCCAACCTGTGTACCATCCCCTCTAAGACCTTGAACACCAGTCTGTTCAAGGTACAGTTACTGACTAATGGATCTGGCTCATTTCCTTCTGAAGTGTTCGTGGGAGACCCCTTTTCAGGTATCGTATTTTAACAGGTACTTTGGAGGACACTGCAAGTCCCATGGAAGGACACATCAGACGGGCTGGTGAAAGAGTTTGGGGGCAGGTATGCTATTGTTGTGGACCCTCAGATCACATGATTGTATTAAGTGACCTTCTTTGCCTCTGCCCTGCAAGGCCCTATGGGAGAATTTTCTTACCAATCTACTTGGAATAAAGGATACAGGTTAGATAGTTCTGGTGTAACCTGGGAGGCAGGGCTATTAAGGTCCAAACTACACCTGAGAATTAACCAGGAAATACCTTTAAGCCAAAAGAAAGGAGCTTAAAGGCCTTGAAGGGATTGCAAAGTCCAGCTATAAAAACAACTTCAAGGTTAACAACCCAGCCTCTGTTTACCAAGACACTCAGGGACCAACAATAGGGAGGAGGCGTGTTTTTGAGTTTTTCCAGTAGTGAGGGAAAGTTAACAAGCCACTCACACTAGTTTCCCTAACCAGGAAGCAGAGTTCCAGAGAAGTGAGTGGCACAAAGGCACACAGCAAATTAGTGGCAGAATCAAGGCTAGACATATATTTACAAAATGGTTGTTTAGGTTCAGGGTTATGATCTGCGGCCATGGGTCAAAGTCAGTTGGACCACACACAGGTAGAACCCGAGACCTTGACTTCTTTAGCACCAGTTGACTTAGAAAGGGGGCAGTGGGGTTCGGAGAAAGAGCACTGACTTTGGAATCAGAGGACCTGGGTTCAAATACTGGCTCTGCTATAGCCTGTATGTCCTTGGACAAGTTATTTCTTGTTGGACCTTAGGTTCCTTATGTGTAAAAAAAAAAAAAAGGAGGGGGTAGGGTTGGACTAGATGACCTCTTAGGTCCCTTTTAGCTCTAATAACTTATTATATAGCTGTGTGACCCTTGGCGAGTCACTTAACCCTGTTTGTCTCAGTTTCCTCATCTGTCAAATGAGCTGTAGAAGGAAATGGCAAACCACTCCAGGAAACTTCAAATGCGTTCACAATGAGTCAAATGTGACTGAAAAACAACAAACAAAAGGTTTTGTATAACAAAAAAGGTTTGAAAAATGCTTCCCTCATAATAAGTCTTCCAGGAAGGTATTACAAGTATTATCATTACCCACTCTTCAGATGAGGAAACTGAGACTCAGAGAGATGAAAGGACTTGCTCAATGTCACACAAATACTAAGGGTCAGGTCTGTGATTTAAATCCAAGTCTCTCCAGATTCCCAACCCATTGTCTTTTAGAACATACCACACTGGTTTTGCTAAACCAGGCTACCAAAATGACAAATATATTTAATTTTTGTCTTTATGTGTCTCCCGGTGCCCTGCACATAGTAGGTATTTAACAAATATTTGTTGAATTGAATTAATAAATATTTGCTAACA